TGACTTATCAGTGATTAGCCTGTGTACAGTAAACTAACTATAGATTAGGGACATGCTTCTCATCGATGATTTGTACTAATTTACTGACGTGACTTACCTAAAATAAACTCCAAGAGTACGGTTCTGGCAACAAGTTAGAGACATGCCTTTTGTCAGTAATTTGAATCAATTTACTGACGTGACTTTAATTCACATCGGTAAATAGATTACCAAGCAGGCTTACACCGACAAATGTATCACCGACTTGATTCAAATTGGAAAATGTTTTTACCGATGAGACTCCTTTTGGTTTCTGACATGATTTTTTGTCGGTGATATTAGGTTTTCTAGTAGTGAAAAATCTGGTCACGTATTCCTTCGGCAAAGGTTAAATGCCAAAATTTAAGATTTTATATAATTTTTATTTTTTAATTATTTTATATATTATTTTGTCTTTTAACTAAAAAAATCTTTTTTTAATATATAAATTTGATTAGATTTATAAAAATAAATTTAATTGAAATATTAAATTTTTGTTAGTTCTATGAATGTAATAGTTTCATAAATATAAGGGTTTATAAATGTGATGTTTCTATGAATATAATTAATGAAACTCTGAATAAAACCAAGTGAATATGAAAGATAAGAGATAATAAGTAAAACATATTAGATAAAATATCCATTCATTGTATAATTCATACTAAATATGATATTTTTGGAGGCATACATCCCATCAACCTTCGAGGCCATTATTTTTGAATGAGTTAGACCTTAATCCAATATATAGCTTAACCCTTGCCATTCCCATGTCCTCCAGTCTCAACTGGTTAATTGCGGGACACTTCCCTAGTAGCCGGCACTATCTCTTCTTCTTTGGAACTGACTTCTACCACCATCATCTCAGTTCCTCTTCTCCCAAAAAAGGTTCAGACAGATGCAACACAACTCTGCAATTTCTAAGAAAAAACATGGCTCCCCAGGTACAAGTACAACACTAACTTATTTAGAAAAATGATTGATACATCCTCTAATTCAACAGACCTATCAACACTGACTAGTTCAATAATTAAAATTTACCTTTGAAAATTTTCTCATCTTAAATTCAAATTTGAAAATATTAATTTTTTAATTACTGAACCAGTAAGTATTGTTAAGTATGTTGAATCAAAAGATATATTAATAATTGTCCTATTACTTATCTTCAATCTCTAATATCCAAACAGTAAAATACAATTCTTATTAATTAAGTTCATTTTTAAAATTTGAAATTTTGTTGGCTTAAATATGTTCTAGTTTGAAATGCTTCATAATAAGAATAGAGAGAGAGGATTATATCTTGATCTTTAAGTTTTGATGAATTTCTTTGAGGTATTTTTTTTTAATTTATTTTTTACAATGGGTTGGTATTCTTAAAATTGTAATTCCTCCATTAAAGTTAGGTTTGCTGTGTCTTCTAATTTACATGTTTATTAGTGTCATTTTATTCATATTGTGATTGAGAGGAGGGAGCAAGCCCCTTCATATAGAAAAGTTGTGCAAGAAGGGAAGATTTTTGTTTTTAAAATCTTCTAATGAGTTGTTAAGTTGTAATTATAGATTAGTGTTCTCTAGTAAGGATATATAAAAACTCTTGGATGTTTACGCATTCAAATACAATGTTTATTTTCAGCTTTTCTCACACCATGTGATGGCAAAATCCTTGCAAACAGGTCCTTAAAATGCACAATTTTTTTTTTTTTTTCAATACATCAGCCTCCCATAAGGAGACCAATTCTACAATAACATTATAGAAACTAGAACTCAAAGCACTTGTTTTTCTGATTTCAGTTGTTAAAGAAGTGACTTAATGTCATGGGTTATGTGCTGGGTGTTGGAACTTAAATATTTTAATAAAAAATAAAACAATATATTTTATAAATTGAATTTATTGTCCCATTAAGGACTTGGTCAAATTAACCGTTATAGATTAATTACCTTGCTTAAGAGTACATTATTTATAAAATGTAATTATAAAACTGTAGCATCCTGGGGCGACATGTTATATATATCTCTACTGCATTGATTGATCTACTCTTCGCAGAGACGTGAATCACATTAAAGTAAGTAAACTTTTCACGCCTATTTTGATTTTATTTTTTTATCAATATTTCTTGATAAGTTAGCTAATTATTATTTTATCTGATCTTGTAACCGAGGCACAACAATGACATGATATGGAGATGATGGAGAGTGTTTGAGGAACAACAATTTTAAGGCGATTCAACATGCTAAGCACAAAATAAAATATATGAGGGCTTGTGTAAGCATAATAGAAAACTTTGATTTTCTTGAATATAGAGATGCGCCAAACAGGTATGAGTTTTTGGTACAAATCTAGTTTAAAAAAAAATTGAGGATACCGTACAATACTTTCTTTACTTTTGCCATTGAGAAATGCATGCAAATATGTGCTCTTTTTGCTACTGCAATACTCCTTAATTTATGAGACATTTTCAACATTAAAAAAAAGAAGGGGAAAAACCCGGCATGCTAAATTGGTATACCATGATGCTATCTTTAAGGAGTTCTGTTTGTAGCTAATAAATTTCAACATGAATGTGGTTATTACTTGGGTGTTTTGACATGGCCGTTTATGGTTATAGTTAGCTTAAATTAGAATATATTTATTGTGTAATTTATTTCTAATAGTAAAAATTAATTAAATGCATTTGTATATAATTTTTCACTTGCTTATTGCATGATTATGAACACATTAAAATGATGTAGTTGTTTGTTTTTAATGTATTGCCAATAATGTGATTTAACTAATTCTTGTGAAATTCAGTAGCCTCCTAAGCATAATTCTTATGAAAAATTAGCACTTCATGTTATTAGCCATTGATATTAAATACATATTAAATTTGTGCTACTTAACTAATAAATTAATGGTGTATTTTAACTGTTACTAGTGCTATAAAGGCTATATTTATAAGAATTATCAGCTAGCTGTTTGCTCTTAATGCATATGGTAAATATTTGGTTTATTTCCAATAGCTATGAAGGAAAAAAATTATGAATAAATTTGTGAATTTAATTGATCATATTATTGAGTTTTTTGATAAAGCAGATGTAAATTTTGGGAACCAAATTCAAAATTGGAAAAGGCTAGAGGAAAGAGCTAGCCAATTTGGTCCATGCAATAAGCAGGTGGGTTTTCTATCACCCCTTGTCATTTACGTCTGCTAATTTATTTACCATGCTAAAGTGTAAAAATTTTCAGGTTGTAAAATTCAATGGAACTCAAATAAAAAACATTCATCACCTAGCACAGCTTGTGGATTGTAAGTGGTAGTAGCATTCGGTATTGTCTTTTTCAGCATTTTCGTATGTGTTTCTCATGACAGTCTGTTCTTTGTCAGCTTGTAAGGATGAATATCTGGTTTTTGAGTTCGAAGAGAAATGTATTGCCGTTTTGGACAGAATAGCAGCTAGTGCTGCTTCATCCTGCATACTTAAAGATTATGGAATTCCATTTGAAAGATCTCCGGATCTTTTGGAGCCATATGTAGACCTAGAGGACAACCAGGCAATGGAGCAGGACCTTGGTGATACTCCAGTTTCGAATTCCGAAATTGGCTTTGATGGAATCATTTGGGTATGACAAGTGAGTGTTGAGAATACAGTCTAATTTTCTCGGCTAGGAAAATATGATTCACAACTTTGAGTCCACTGACTCCCAAGACATCATAACTTTTGCCCATTTCTATGGGCCAGAACCCTACTGCTTTCATCCTTTTTCAGTCAACCACATCCAGGTTTTACAATTTCCTTCTACAGACTGACCAAATCTTTTGATTCAATAATTGTTTTTCCTCTCCCGTGCTTTCCCATGTCATGATCTCATTGTTCGGTTTTCTGCATCCATCTATTCAATCAGGCAACACACCAAAATAATATCCAATTAGAGATGGTCATATGCCGAATTAGGCCATATTTAACCTTGCGAGCATTTGTTGTAATAACTAGTAATGATAAAAACTGTTGGATTTAACTCATTCAAACACAATATTTATTTTCAGCTTTTCTCACACCATGTGATGGCAAAGTCCTTGCACACACAGGTACCTAGAATGCATAAATTTCTTTTTATCAGGACATCAACCTCCCAGAAGGTAACCAATCCAGCAATAACATTATAGAAACTAGAACTCATCAAAGCACTTCCTTCTTTTTCCAGCTTTCTGTGTTACAGAAGTGATTTGATGTCGCTGGCTATGCTCTGGGCATCAAAACTTGCTCCTTTAAACCCTGTCCTCGACAATCCAGTGCAGTATAACCCATTCTTTCCTTTCCAGTTGTTAGGGAAACTGTTCTTTGCAATCCCTTCCTCGTTCAGCAAATGGTCACCTCCCTGCTCCATACAATAAGAAAATGATCATGTGAATCGGAATGATTAAGGTGAGAGATTGTTTCATGTTATTACCTTAAGCCACTTGTTTGTGGATGGCCTGAATCCGGTACAGAAAACTATTGTGTCAAAGGAATGTGCCTTCCCATTCTCAAATAACACCTCATTGCCGCTTATGCTTGATATTGCTGGCAACACCTACTCAATTTAAAAGCAATTAAACATACATTGTCATGAGTTGGTAGGGTAGCCATATCATGATACACCTCCCTCGCCCCCTCCCCCCCTTCAAAAAAAAAGGTACAAATGCATGATTTGTCTAATTTAATGTTTTCTAGATTAAAATGGTCATTACACTTTAATGTCTAAAATGAAACTTATTTTTACTGTGTTCATTAAAAGAAAGTTTTTCAAATTTACCTTCTTTTCATAATTTGATTAATGAATAGCTATTACCACTAACTAAACATGATCTAAAATTTTAAAACTTCACATATTCAAAATTTTACTTTGATAATTTCAAACTCAAGCCAAACCACTATATTTATAAATTTTAAACTACTTTTGGATCATAACCGTTATTTATTAATCTCAAACTATTAAAAAAAAAATTTTTATCTAACACTTATTTTATAATAGTTTCAAAATAAATAAATTTATTAAATATTTGTTGTTAGTTATATGAGTAAAACCATTAATTACTACGGGATAGCAAACGGGCCCAAAGTGTAAATTAGGAGTAGGACAAAAACTCGAGCCATTTTTTTGTGGGAATAAAGAACCGGGTATTGAAACCAGCACATGTGTCTAGAAAGCATGTCCTCTTACCAAGTGGGCTAACCCGACTACCAGAAAATCGAGCTTATAGTTCAAAAACATCCTCACCAAGTAGTTGACTAATGAATGAATTTTCCTTACGGACTACCAGTCTACCACTCTCCAAAAACTCATAAAAGAAAAATCTCAACTCCCCGCACATTAAAAGCCCCTTTTACCAACTTAGTCAAGCAATTAAGCCATTTTAGGACCTTAACAACATTATTAATTAATTAATTAATCAAGTTGTTGGAAAAAGGCCAAAAAGGAAGAAAGTTTTGGTATCATGAAGATAAGTATCGTATCCTCGTCCAATATATTAAAATCAGTCAACTTAGCAAGCGACCAGTAAAAGCTGAGCTGCCTAATCTTTTGGTTGGAGGGATTCCCATGGCACAATAGATTCTTTGTTGCTTCATATTTGAAACCCCTCATCCTTTAAAATGAAATTATGGAAATTAATACTCAGCTATCTACTTTTTCTTCTAATTACCTGAATCTCTCCAGACTTGATCTTGCTAATGGCACCCATGTCAACAATTGGATACTTGCCATATGCAACTTTGATGAATAATGGACCTTCTTTAGGCCTACTAAGTCCGTACTTGGTGAGGTCTCCATAAACAAGTTTGCTAAGCAACATCATCAATGAATCCACCGGGCTGAGTGGAAAATACCTCAGCAAGACCAATGCCAAGTATATCATTCTCTTTGACACAACTTGAACCTGTGCAACATCATTCCAAAGTTAATCACCCTTGCTTGAATAAATAAGGAAAAAACTATTTTGCAGTTAAAAATAAAATTACACAAAAAGTACAAATACAAAATACGGGGATGTTTGCAAACAGTGCAGTTCGTACTGCAAAGCTACAACCCTCATAAATAAATACACCTAATTATCAATGGTATATATGATTGAAAATCAGATCAATTTTACCGGACTGCGAGCAACAATGGATGTTATGGCACCGTGGTTTGCGAGATCCATTGCAACTTCCATACCGGAATTGCCAGCCCCAACAACGAGAACGTTCTTGCCGCTGTACCCCTTTCCGTTCTTATACAGAGTCGAATGGAAAACATTTCCGCGAAAAGTATCAAGTCCTTCGACCTCCGGCGTATAAGGGTCGCTAGTTTCTCCACTTGCGACCACCAAAAACCTCCCAAGGTATTCCTCCACCTCACCGGAGCTCAAGTTTCTGGCCTTCACCACCCATTTCCCGCTTCCCTCATCGAAGCTGGCCTCCTCAACGCACCTCCGGTACAGAGGAGTGATGTTGAACTGGGAGACATAGCTTTGTAGGTATTGTACGAATTGGTCTTTGGAAACATAGGTGGGAAAATTAGCAGGAAATGGCATGTGGGGAAGAGTACTGATTTGCTTGGGTAAGTGGATGTGGAGACAGTCGTAAGAGTATTTTGTCCATAGAGAAGCGAAACGGTCTTCTCTTTCAAGGAGTACGTAAGGGATTGATTGGATATTTAGGCAGGCCGCGGTGGCGAGGCCAGAGGGTCCGGCTCCGACAACGATGACCGGAGTTTCTTGCATCTTTTTCTGATGACAAAGAGGAGCAATGATGTAGAGGATAAAATGGTTTTATCACAGGCAGGCAATTGGGTTGTTTTATAACCCTAAATTTTATACCCAGCGAAAAGATAATGTTTTCTTTAACCGTTTTCATGAGTTAATTTGAGACGCACAACAAAACAAAATGATCTGAGATGGAAGTAGAAATGCCAGAAAATTACTTCTTCTCTTAGTTCTTTCTGATTTGTATGGAATAGAAAACTCGGAAGATATTTTTCTCACATTTTTTCATTAATTTACGGACTCAAAAAATCTGGTCACGTGTTCCTTTTGTCAAGGGTTAAATGCCAAAATTTAAGATTTTATATAATTTTATTTTTTAATTATTTTATATATTATTTTGTCTTTTAACCCAAAAAAATCTTAACACTTTGTTACCCATTTAGCACTGAAAATAGAAGTCACTCCTACCTCTCAGGTGGGCCTATATATAAATCAAGAGTCAAAATCTACAACAGCATCTTAGACCTTCGCAAACGGGTGCGGTCATGTCAGATAGGGGTGGGCAAAAGCCGGTTCGGTTGAAACAGAAACCGGTTTTAAAATAACCAAAAAAAATTTTCTTGAATTTTGAGAACCAAAATTAAACCGAAATTCTTACAAACCAATCGGTTCAATTTCAATTTTTATTAAGTAAATATTAATAATTTTTTTTCAATAACAAATTATATTTTATCTCATATTTTATTATATTTATTTAAATTTTGATTTTCAAGAGACTCATTTTTAGTTTTCAATTTGTAAAAGGTTGAACCGAAATTAAATTAAAATTTATTTAATTAATATCAAAACCAAAACAATAAAACCTAAAAACTATTAAAACCAAACTAAATTCATTTTTTTGGTTCAATTTTCAAATAACCATTCGATTACCAACTCGAATGCCCACCCCTAATATCAGAACTAATGTTAACTTATTAAATAATGTAAAAATATTCAGTAATGAATATTTATTGTTATGTCAATTGTAATTTATTTTTAATAATTAAACAAAAAATTAAAATATTTTAAAATAATATTATATAATCTTGATAAAATAAAATATAACTATAACTACATCCTTTTATTAAAACAAAAAGATAATAAAGAAACTCAATTTTATAGTTGAGCAGGTTCTTACACTTGATATTAAATAATTTTTAGTAGAGGTTCAGAATATATTACTTAAAATCAATAGAATTATTTTTATTTCTTTAATTTCTCTATTTCCACATTTTCCTTTGTTATAAAAGAAAAAACCAACTAAATCAGTGGGAGAAAATATCTTACCTAAATCAGCGACCCTCTCCCTAAAATTTCCCATTTGAAATTGACCTCAGACAAGAAAGAAAGGTTCGACTTTTGTCATGTGGCCTGGAGACCAACACATGGCTGGTTAACATGCGTTCTGTTGTTTGTGATCATTACCCATCTCCTGTACACTTCCCCCTTCTATGTTGCTGATAACTGATACCAT